TTATCTTTTTGAGACAGGGTCTTCCTGTAGCCCCAGCTGTCCTGGAACTTACTATGTATACCAGGCTGGCCTTGAACTCACAGAGATCTGCCTGCCTCTGCCTCCTGAGTGCTGGGATTAAAGGCATGGGCCACCACATCTGGCTTGGGTTTCCTTTTTTAACCTATCTCATGTCTGCTAACATCAGTTCACTGGGATTATTTAAATCACCAATGGATTACCAAATCAAATCATCCATTATTAGTCCTACTGTAAAGAAAAGTATGAGACAGGTACTACCTTCTCTCTCACCTATTTCTTACTCTTAGGATTCCAAACACCATCACAGGCCTTCTGGTAATTACAACAGGGATGTTTTCTTACCATGTTCCTGAAATGTTTTATTGAGATTACACCTGGTCCTTTCCTTTTTCCACTTTTCCCTGAATAATTGGCGCTGACTATTCATAAAACTAAAATAAATGAAATATATGGCTGAAATTCCTGAATTTCCTACAGCGCTGATGCTGTAACATCTACCTCACTTTCCAAGCAGGAAGAACTTGCCTAAGAGTCTTCCTTCTCTCTTAACCAGTCATTGAGCCAGTCTTGTCATGTTTAACTTCTAAAAATTTGTCATTTCCTGAGATCAGTTCCTCATTTCTGACTTGGACCTGTTACCATTATTAAGGATTGATTGATCGGTTATTTCATAAAAATCATACAATATCTTAAAATGTTAACTTCTTAGCGTCTTAGTTTGGCTTAAAAGGCCTTGTTCAATTTAGTTCTAGCCTATTTCTCACTTCCAAACCTCTAACCACACACACACACAGAGCAACACTCTTAACTCATTTTTCCATAACCTTGTCACAAACTCCCAATATCTGTACTGATGCTTTCCCCATTTCTCTGCACCCAGGAACAACCTTGAAGACCTTATTCAAAAATCACTTTCTCTGTACAGTTTCAACTAAATCTCCAGGTAATTAGTAATTAGCCCCTTTCTCCAGTGTTACCAAGTGTCCACTTAATGTATTTCTGTAGTATTTAGTATTTTACCTGTCACAAGGCTTTCTCAAGATGTGAGCTTCTTGAGGGCAGAAACCAACAAGCTCCCCCCTCCATCCCTTTAAAAAAATATCCCCAGTACCTGCATTTACATTTACCCTAAAGCAATTTCTTAATAAACACTTGAATGAATGACTTTGGACATTTGGACACTAAGACATTAGTGAGTGGGTGGGTTTCACAAATGCCACAAACCTAACACCAGATTTTCATTTTATGAGAACTGGATTTTTTCCTCCATGAAGTGAAGCGTTCTAGTTTATCAACTGACAGGGGTGGCTCCACTTCATCCACCCAACTCCAAGAGAAGCTCCTTTTGAGAAAGAGAGATTTCAGGAGATTCAAGTTTCTGCCACTGCTCCAAATGGCAGTGATACTGGCCCTGCAAGACTTGGGGGAGGAAAATCTTTCCTAAGGTCGAAAACCCTGAAGAACGAGGTCAGCAAATACCTTCCTTGCTATGCCCACTAAGCCTTCAAAACACAGCCCTGGACCCCGCCGCGCAGCCCCTCCCTCGTCTACACCTAGAGCCAGGCCTCGATCCCACTGCCCCGCCCCCTCTTTCTTCACCCTCCAGTGAATCCTCCCACCGAGCCTCTCCCCAGCTGGGAGCTTCTGGCCACCAGGCCTTCGGGGCCATAGAGCCTGTCAACCCCGACCGTCCACACCACTCTATGACCCCTGACCCCCTCCTCCAGCCTGCTCTTACTGTCCAGATAATGTTCCAAATACATCCCAGCAGCCATCTTGAAGCAAAACAAAGCAACTTCCGATCCGCCCCGGAAGTGACTGAAACACCACAGGCGCGGGAGCCATTCTTGGATTAGAGCCTTTCGGTCCTTAAAAGAACTTCCGCCCTCACTGTAATACCACCTCCCCGCTCCGCCGACACATCCGCCCAACGTTGATCCTTCGCTTTCTGCGTGGATAGTCGCGGTCGCCAGTAGCGACGCTGCTTTAAGCTGCTTCCGCCCTTACTGAGACTCCAGTATTACTGACAGGTGTGACGTCACACGGGGTCGCCATTTTGCATTCTCTAGCAAAGTCCTCCCCCCCAATCCAAAACAGGAGTATGTGGTAAATGGGGGGATGAAACTGGTCTGTTTAGGATTGTATTCCGTAAACACCCTTTCCAGCAAGTGGGGAATCCAACTTTCTTTTTTAAAATTATTAATCTAGTCACTAGCTGAAGCAAGGATAGTCTCCAAGGTAGCTTCATAAGTTGGGAAGTTAGGCTTTGCATTTTTATTCACTCAGGGGAGCACCATAATTCAGATAATTATTGTGGGGCTAGAGATGGAACTCAGGGTTTCAAGTATGCTAAGCAAGCGCTCTACCACCGAAGTAGACCGATATTTTAACTTGAAAAGTATTTTCCAACTTCCTAAGAATTACACAATAAGGCTGTAATTGCAGCTTTCATTTTGTCAGGGTTCTCATTTATACTCACATACTTTCACATAAAACACAACTACTTGATTTTGCTGCTCTGCTACCCTCCTAAGGGGAGTTACCATGCTTTCATTTCCTTTTGTATTTGAATTGATACATGATGATTCTGAAAGGACTGTGGCATCAAGGTTTCCCATTAGATGTCAGCCATGACCCTAGTCAGCTATTGTACAATGAACATTATGCTTCCCATTAGGATGTAAAGCAAGGGCCTCAGAGCTTTCCATGACCTTAGGGAAATTGGAACTCAAACCCTGTAACTAAATAGATGTGGTAAAATCTTGGAGATAAGATGTTACCCCTAATTCATACCTTTCACAACAGGCTTCTAAAAGAAAATTTAAGCTTAGAGCAAATAGGTAAAGGACAAGATGAAGCCCCAAGTTTACTAGTGAGCAGATGCTAAAAGTACAGCGGTAGGATCTGAACTTCACACTAATTACAAGTGTCATGTGGTTGGATAGTGTAATCTGTGCCTGTTCTCTATACAACAAGAGTAGTTGGCACAATTATCCTAGGGAAGGAAAGAGAAATGGACCAACAGAGTAGGTACTGGTTCTTTTTTGTTGGGGGTGTTTTTAGGACAGGGTCTTCCTATAGCTCCAGCTGGCCTGGAACTCATCATGTAGACCAGGCTGGTTTGGAAGTCACAGAGATAGTGCTGGGACTAAAGATGTGTGGCACCATGCCCGGCTTATACTCAGGATGAACATAGTCGTCAGAGCCTCCCAGTAGTTGGTGAGGAGAAAAAAATACTCAAGCTCTACTGGCATATTTTCATTCACTGTTGTGCTCCATTCTAAGTTATTACCTTAGACATCTAACTCCAAACTAAATGGGCCTTAATTTATCCGCACCCACTAGATAAGGACCAGTGGCAAGTTCTCAGATGTGGGAACTTGTCAACTTTTCCTTAATGGAAGGACTTAATGATCATGAAGCAAGCAATCTTGGAAATTAAATCCTTTCATTTAATAGCTGAAGAGGAAGCAGATGGTAGAGCCTGATCAAGAAGTCTAGCTTTTTAAATTTTTTTGATTTATGCATATGAATGTTTTGCCTGCATGGATGCAAGTGCACTGCGTGCATGCAATATCCATGGAGGTCAGAAAATGGCTCAGATCCCCTGGAATTACAGATTGTCAGCCACCATGTGGGTGCTGGGAACTGGTCCTCTGCAAGAGCAACCAGTGCTCTTAACTGTGCTGCCATCTCTCCAGCCCCAAGTTTGGCTTTCTTGACTATTTTCTATTTTGCACAATTGTCTTGCATTGTTAGGTGAACATGATAACCGTTACACTATGGAAGCTCATCATGATCTGCATTGTTAATCAGTCCTAAACCCAGTAGCTGGCTATAATTTCCACCACTGGGAACCTCTGTTCTTGGCCACTGCGATCTAATAGAACACATGAGTAAATATACAATGCTCCATAGAATTAGCACAAAATGAGGGAGACAGGCAGTACAGGCCCTTTCAAGAGGCCATACTTCCATTTTGGGGGGGTTGGGGGGAACACCTTGCTATTTTGTTAGCTGACACCTTGTTTTCACATACTTATGCAATCTCGTAACAGAATTTGAGAACTCTTCCTAAATTGAAGATGCCTGGGTAATTTACACATGTGGGCTCATCACACAAGCATTCGTTCTTCACATACTCCAGTGCAACTCCTTAATACTGTCCCTGAACATCTCCCAAGTATTTTTCCCCATACTAGCTTACATCAGCAGCTCCACTACCTCTCATCCTTTTACATGAATTTATTTCTATACAATAGTCTAAAAACACCCCTTGGTTTGTACATTTTTTTCCCATTTTTAAATTGCTTTATAACAAGTTTTCCTGATTTTTAATTTTCTTTTCTCTGAAATCTGCCATGATTAAAAAATAAAAAGGCAAAAGAAAATTAAAATGCCATGGCCAGAGGACAAGGTGAAAGAAAAAAAGACAAAAATAAAACATCAGTATGAAAATTCTGAGATAATGCATTTATAAACACAGAAATGGTTACAACAAAGATGGCCGTGATGAGCAGGTGTGTATATATATATATTT